TTTTACATGAACTGTTCACAGCAGGTCATTTCCTTTCTTCTTGCGTATCCTGCTTCTCTCGTCTGGAACACAAATTCCCAAGGTAGGAATTAACCCTGAAGTGTGATTTTATCTGAGGCCTCTGATGATATCCGCGGCTCTGTTTCCACCTCCAGCCTTGTCTTCTGCCACTTTCCAGGCAGCCTGAGCTGCCCCCAGACCCCAAGGTTGCCCCACTTGTCCTCACAGGCTTCACGCGGCTGCCCTGCCCGGTCACCTCCTCCTGGAAGTCACACCACTGCTTCCCACAGGCATCACCCGATGCCTTCTCTGCTCTGCCCAGAGCCCTTCGTTTATGAGAACTGAATGGTCTCTCTTTCCTAATAAAGTGCAGGTTCCCTGAAAGCAGGACCTGAGTCTGGTTACTGTCCTTCCTCCGATGTCCAGGTCACCCCAGGCCAAAGGTGCTAATTTAAAAGTTGATGAATGAACCAACATGTGCAAGGTACACATTCAGCTCGCAAAGTGCTTCTGCGAAGTGCACCTTGCTGTCATTCACCTGGAGGAGACTGCTGCGAAAACTCGAAATGGCTTCATGTGTAAGTGGCACAGACACCACATCCAGTGAGAACTCTGGTGGAGACACATCTGTAAGGCAGACCTGTCCCATCAGAGAGCATGGACATCCTCTGCAGCACAAACGGGAACTCTCCGCCCCGACTAAGTGAATTCTGACATCTGAGAAAAGAGATTCAGGCATCATCAAAAGAAAAAACTTTACAAAGAAACTGCCTCCCATTCCTAAGCCTTTGTCTTATTAATCTTTCTTAAAGTCGCTGTTTAGCAAGCATTCACTTTGACAAAATAAATTAAGCTTCATTGTACTACTCATTTATCCCATTTTGTCATAAAACCATTCAGCATTATCTCACAGAGCTGTATGTTGATAAACGTGTAGAATGCAGTTCCCACCACGAACGGCCTTGTAAAGGCCAGGAGAAGATTCAAAGGAACCAACAGTTGTCTGTTTCAGGACCCAAGTAGGCACAGCCTCGGAAAAAACTCCCCATCCCTTCTCCAAAACCCCAAATGTGTATTAAAGACACATTTCAATAATTCGGGGGTATTCATAAGTTAATTATAACAAAAAAAGCTACATGAGGGGAAAAACCGCTCATTTTTCTCCCTGTATAACTAATAAAAGCTGTAATTTTATGGAAAAGCGATGAAAACACCGATACGTATCTGTGGTGTGGATTAACAAAAATACATAAGGATGTTCCAACTTCTATGCCAACATTAATTAGTGCCTGATCCAACGTGTTCTCGCCTTTGTTTTAATTTAAATGTAAATTGAAATGAATTTTATATTTCAGATCCTCTCCATTCTTATTGACAAATAAGATGAGAGAAACACATCAGCAGAAACTAGGCCTTCTCACAAGCCAATTAGCAGCATGATACTGCATAATTATTAAGGGATAAAGATTAAGTAGGTAAAGCTAAAAAGCCCTAATGAAATATATTCAGATAAGGACTAGAAGATTTAGGGAGATGTGAAAACAGATACATATCCTAACTAAAGCCTGAACTGCAACTTCCTAGACCTCCTCAGTGACTCTGACCCAATAAATATTTATTGAACACCAACTGTTTGCCAGGTGTTAGGTGCACCATTATGCAGACAAAATCGCACTCCCATGGTTCAGAGTGTGCATATTCTCTGGCCACAATGTTGCTCTAAAGTTATATTTACCTAAAACGTATCCTGTACTGTCCAGTAGAGGCACATTGAAATTCTTACTAGGTCACATCTCAAATGCTCAATTGGAACTAGTCACATTTCAAATAATCAATAGCCACATGTAGTTGGTCATGACATGTACTGGATACTGGACACACATGCTACATGACATAAGAGTGCAAAGATACACAGAAATAACATTTGCATCATCACAGAAAGTTCTACTGTGTGGACTCTGCTCAGACACCAGATAATTGGTCCCCATCACTTACTGATTGTGTGACACCAGGGAAATCACTTAGTTAGCCTGTGAGTCTATTTTGCCATAGACACAGCCAAGCTTCCCTTCAGTAGAAGAAAGGCTAAATGCATTATGGCCTATCCATTGACTAAAGCAGGTTGGATTAAGAAGTATCCATTGTGGTCCAGCCAGACTGGCTCAGTGGTCCAGCATCTTCCCATGCACCAAGAGGTCACCAGTTTGACCCTTGGTCAGGGTACATGCCTGGGTTGCAAGCTTGATCCCAGTAGGGGTTGTGCAGGAGGCAGCCAATGGATGTTTCTGTCTCATCAATGATTCTATCTCTGTCTTCCTCTCTCTCTAAAAAAAGTAAATAAGAACAAAAAATCTTTAAAACAAAGTATCCAATGTGATACCATTTGTACAATACACATTCATATAAAAATCTACCACATTTTCTACAAACTTATCTTAAACACACAAATATATAAAAAATATATTGACCAAACAGATAAATGGAGTAATCCCTAGGATGGTGGCCAAAGGGAATTTTGTGAAAATATAAAACAAGCTAGTTTAGGGTAAGGTATTATTTCCTTTACTAATAGAAAGATGCTAATAGTAATTGCTGGCCTAGTCCTACTTTCCAGGTACCAATGAAAGGACTTTGAATATTGCCCGGGCCAGAGGGCTCCGTGAGTTGGGGCATTGTCCCATACACCAAAAGGTGGTGGGTTTGTTTCCTGATCAGGGCACATACCTGGGTTGCAGGTTCAGTCCCCCTGGGGCACATGCGGGAGGCAGCAGGCTGGTATTTCCCTCTCACATGGATGTTACCCTCTCACTCTCTCCCCCCCTTCCTCTCGCTCTAAAATCAATAAACATATCCTTGAGTGAGGATATTTTTAAAAGTACTTTGACTATTGTAAAACATGATTTAGATATAAGACTTAATATATAAAAATTCGAGGCTAAACAGAGTATAAATATAGTTTATGTCATGATTCATAAGTTTCTGTAGAAGTTTAAAAATCTCCAAAGGCAAGCAAACACAGTTGTTACCTTTAGAAAACAATCTGTGATTGGGAAAGATGAATCAATTCTTGGCTGGGTTAAAACTCATTTGAGCACCAGCCAGTGAGGGGAGATGGAGACAAGACCCAGTTCCTGTCTTCCAGCAACTCCGGACTCAAGGGAAGGCACACGTTCAACAAGCTTCTCCATCAGCCTGGGATGCCTGCCATGAACCAGAAGTAGAGGGAGATGCAGGAACACACGGGAGATTTGAAGGGAGAGGGGGACTTTGGCGTGTGTTGCGGGGAAGAGGGTTCTACTGAGGGTGAAGTGCTGACATGAAGGGGAGGGCAGGGTTCCAGCCGGGAAGGGGCAAGAAGGTGAAAGAGAAGTGAGCTGGGTCATTACACAGGGCTTCATTACCCATGGAAAAGACCTTAGATTTTATTTTTAAAACAGAAGTCACCAAACTGTGGTTTCAAGAAGGACAGTGACGTGATCGGTTCTGTTTTTCTAGTAGCATCTTTCTTGCTGCAGGGTGGGAATGCAACTCGGAGCAGGAAGCTCAGCACGACGCAGTGCTGGGCCCTGGAACGTGGGGAACAGCAGGTGGAGAAATACAGACTGGTTGGAGAGAGCAAGGAGACAGACGGCTACGACTTGGCTTCAACTGATGTAGAAAATATATAGTAAACTGTCCCATTAGGGGTCCAGGAACTTAGAATTTTTTAACGTTAAAGATATTTATCTTTTTTACAGATACACAATGCTTTACCTATAATCCCTCAAATACAAAAAACTCAGAAAATGAAAAGGATTTCCATAAGATGGCAGAAAAACCTGACTTGAATTAACATGAGGTTCTTCATCCTGCCTTGCCCCATTCTGCATGAATATTCATATATCTCCCAGTAGAGAGATTAATATCTGTGATCATGCGGTGCAACTGGAGAGGACGGGGGTTTGTAAGGTAATAGATGGTGTATGCTCTGTGTTACACCTTCATAAAACCTGACAAACTCTGAATTCAGCAACACATTTGGCCCCCAGGGTTTCTGATGAGGAAATGCAGGTGGGAGGTTTCCCACATTCACTCTCCAGTTTTAGAATGACTGAGACTATGCTGATACAATACTACTGGTGATCAAACAGCCCATTAAGATGTGCTTGGTAGGAGAGATGTGATGTGCATAAATCAGCTATTATTTTCAACAGTGCAATAAGGTCTGCAGTTAAGAGTGTGTGTGTGTGTGTGTGTGTGTGTGCATATGCACCCGTGTTGTATGTAACAGTCGACCTTTAGACACGCATCAGATAAGACTGGAAGAGTTCATTTTCAGGGAGGTTCCATGCCACTGTAGAGAAACTGTCACAAGGCTTAACCTCACATATCTGTCTCCTGGGGACTAATAGTTGTTTCTAACAAGCTATCTGCTGAAAAAAGGCAGGGACATCAAAAGGGATCAATCCCAGGCCTCCACCTACAACCATTCTTTTTTTTTAACCATTGGCACAGTACTCTGGGAGAAGATTTGGAGACAACAAATGAATAATACATGATCCCAAACTACTCTTTGAGAAGTTGCACCAAAGAATATGTTTATAATGTTTGTTAAAATAATAATAAACTAGAAATTATAAAAATATTTGTCTACGACATCACACATGAGGTGAGAAAACCCGGCTGAGCCCGGGGTGTGAGAGCAGGAAGAAGACTGTGTCTAAGGAAGCAGATGCGGTGCCGGGTGACCTCTGGAGAGACAGCTGGCTCAGAAGAAATCAAAGCAACGTCTTCCCGACTGTCCAGTAATGGAGCTCCACATTGCTACCTCGTAAGAGACATCATTAATAACTGACCTTACTCATTAGGAAATTTGGGAGCTGTACTGATGTCCATTTTTGGAATGACATCGACCTAGAATAAACCTACTTTTCTTTGCATTGCAGACAGCAAAGCTGGGAGATTCTTGGCAGTTGTAGGCCCTTCTGCAATGTTAGAGAAACTGACTAGAAAGGTCTTACCTTCAACACAAGAAGGCCGAGCCCGAGTTGTGCCAGCAACCTGTCCATGGAAGCAAGAACACTTGACCGTTTGTGATCGCTCTTCTATGTGGTTCCTGTTACAGCACCTGTGCACAGCAACCACCTCACAGGTCCCCTGCTTGGCATGGTGCTGACCTGGGAGGTAACGGGGAGAGAACAGACCCGGTGCAGTTACGAGCAAACAACATCGCCAAGAACATGAATCATGCTATGGCTACCCTTTCCAACTTCTTGTGCTACCTAGGAATCTTTGCAACTTTTTACTTGGTTGAGATTTCAAATGTATGTAAAGGTGTCAGAGGACAGTGCAGGTCAAGGTGACAGAGAAGGAACACCCTGGGCTCACCTCCTCCCACCAACACACCAAAACTACAACTCAACACAAAGCAAGTATCTCTGAGAATGACCTCTAGACCAGCAGAAAAGATTCTCTACAGCTGAGAATATAAAGAAAAAGCCGCATGGAGATGGGCATGGGGGCAATGGAGCGGCATTCCGCAATGGGAGGGGTGTCACAACCCTGCAGGCCCCTTGAAGGGTGAGGCATCCGACCCACCTCAGGCTCCCCAGCCCAGGGACCTGCTCCGGGAAGAGGGGTCCCTAACTCCTGGTTGTGAGAACAGCAAACTGAGGGGCTCTGGGAAAGTGAGCGTCTCCCATATGGGGCTTGTGCACAAACTCACTCACTCTGAGAGACAGCAGTGTGAGAGGCACCTGGGTCACACGTGAGAGAGAGACATCGACCATACTGACGAATTTCGGAGCGTCTGCTGGAGGGGCCTGGTGGGCCTCTGGGAATGGAGGCCATAGTGAGGAATGGCGGCTTTGCTGGCTCGCCTTCTGTCTAGCCTGCCTGAGCTGTGGCCGCCATATCTTGTGCTCTGCATTAAACTGCTAAGCATTCCACCCACCCAGCCTTCCCCGATGACCCACCAGCCCAACCACCTTCCAAAGCAGGACTCTGCTCCCCACCCCAGACCCCAAAGGCAGCCCAATGGGCCTTGAAAGTGGGGCCCTGCCACCAGCACTAAACAGATGGCCCTGGCAAGAGCAGAGGAGGGGAGAGCCACGCCCCTCTGCCACGGGAGACTCTCTGGTAACACAACCAGTATAGAAAGAGTCTGGTGTTTCCTCAGAAACTAAAGGCAAAACGACCTTGTGATCTAGCAATTCTACTTCTGGAGATATATATGTATATATATATATATACACACACGAATTGAGAACTGAGATCAGGGTCTCAAGAGGCATTTGCACACACATGTCCACAGCAGCAGTGTTCACAAAAGCTACCTGGATAAACATGTGATAAAAGAATTTAGGAAAATCTAAAGCAGGATCCAAGACAGGCCATTCCTTTGGTAAAGCAACTAGCAACAGCTTGGGTGGGCCTGAAAGCTGGGTGGGGCGGGGCCTCAGGGAATCACCAGGGCGGGGCAAACAGTGTGAGCCAGGTTGCTGGAGTCCCAGGTATGGCTGCAGTCTGCAGGCCTCATGGGGGAAGGGTTCACCAAAGCAAAAAAGGCCTCTGACAGCACATCTGTCCAGGAGAAAGCTGAGGCTCCTCTTAAAGGTGCCTGGGCACCTCCAAGCCCAGCACAAAAAACAGCCATCTGCAGACTGCTTTGTAGCTTATTCCGGGTGGCTCCAGGTACAACACAGGCAGTGGCTGACCTTGCCCCCAGAGCCAGCACACCCAGTGGACGGCTTCAGACAACACTGAAGCACCATCACCCTCGGTCCAATGCCAAACAGCTCAGTTCTTCCCCGTATGTCTCTGGTGCCCCTCAAGCTGCCTCCCCTCCAAGCTCAGAATGAGCGAGTCCGAGTAAGTCCATGCACAGACCCTTTAAGAGGAGCTGCCTGGGGCTCCTGCAGCCTCAACCTCCCTCAGCCTCAGTTCCCACTGGTTTTACAGCCAGAAGTGATAGGGATTCTCTTCCTGGCACTGGTACCCTGAGCTGGGGGCCTGGTGTGGGACAGGGACCCCTCACATCACAGAGAGGACCTTCCCAGCTGAGGTGTCCTCCTGATTTTATCTGCCACATGTGGGGGGGGGGGCCCAGCCCGTCTGCCTCTGCCCCTCCCACCAGTCTCCATGTGGCTGCTTCTTTAATTCCGAAGTTGTAGGACTTCCTTCCATTCAGCTCGCTGTCTGGTGGTTCTGAAGGATGGATGTTCTGTAGTTTAGTTGTCATTTTGACGTGGTTGTGGAGGAGGCAATGCCGCATTTGCCTACCCGGCATCTTTCCTTTAGCATTCTTTAAGCAGAAACTAGCCCTCAGCTTTTATCATTCTTTTTTTTTCTTTTATCCTCATCCAAGGACAGTTTTGCATTTATCTTCAGATAGAGATGGAGGGAGAGAGAGAAACATTGATGTCAGAGAGACACACTAATTGGTTGCCAACCACATGACCCTAACCGGGGCTGGGGACAAACTGCAACTGAGGTACGTGCCCTTAGCGGGAACCGAACCCGTGTCTCTCTGGTCCTCAGGCTGAAGCTCTAACTGCTGAGCCAAATCCACCAGGGCACTTTTATCATTCTTAACCTTGACATTTTAAAATATTACATACCAGTTATTTTGTAGAATGTCTTGCCATTTGGTTTTGTCTGGCATTTCCTCTTGTTTAGATTCGAGCAGTGCATTTTATCAGAACACCCAGGAGTGACACCGTTACTTGCCCTGGTATTGGTCCTATTTCCTTAAGCACATGGTTAAGATGGTGTCTGACCAGTTTCTCCATTTGCAAAGGTACTATATTTTAACTTATAATTTAAAAGCATTTTAGGGGAAAATATGAGGGTATGTAAATATCCCATTCATCAAACCCTTATTCACTATTTTTAGCATCCATTAATGATTTCCACCTGAATCAATTATAAATATGATAGTTGCAAAATCAATTCTACATTAATGTTCAAATGATCTCAGCTCTAGACAGAAGACCCTTCAAACTGGCAGCAGGTCATTTTGAAATATTCCCATTATTCTCTGAGACCTCACTAATTTTCTGGCTTAAAAGATGTGCTAGGCTGACCTCATCTTTTCCTGGCCACCATCATTTTTCTCCATGGAGCTCTGACTTTTTGTGGGACATTAGATTAGAAACCAAGACCTTGGCACATAGGTTTACTCACTGCTACCAGAGAGTGATGTGAGCTGAAAGGCAGATGGAGAATTGTGTGTGTGTGTGTGTGTACACAGCATGAGTTCACACTGATATCTCCAATTCCAAGACTCTCACTACTCTCTCCACAATTCTCTAATTTTAACTCCCATCACCAATAATGAGAAAGCTGACTTCCATAATCCTATGTCCCAATACATTTTATTAGTTAGAGTCTTTTGTTATAACAACAGACACTGATCTGAACTAAATTAATCCAAACAGAATTTATTGAAATATTATCAGATGATTGAAGAACCAAGAGGGAACTTAACTTTTTTATTATTATTATTAACTTATTTTTGTTGCATATGTTTCTCCTTTTTCCCCCATTGACGCCCTCCTCTGGATCCCCCCCACCCCCGCATTGTTGTCTATGCCCATTATGAATATATGCATGTAAGTTCTTTGGTTTATCTCCACCCCCCAGCCTCCATCTTCTGAGGTTTGTCAGTCTGAGCCCTACTTCTATGGCTCTGGGTCTATTTTGTTTATTATATTCCACAAATAAATGAGATCATGTGACACTTGTCTTTCTCAGATCAGCTTATTTCAATTAGTATAATACTCTCCAGGTCCTTCCATGTCATCTTACAGTATAAGAGATCTTTCTTGCTCACAGCTGCAGTGTTCCATGGTGTACATGTACCACAGCTTCTGTATCCACTCATCTACTGATGGACACTTGGGCTGTTTCCAGAACTTAGCTATTGTAAATAGTGCTGCTGTGAACATAGGGGTACATATATTCTTTCTGATTGGTGTTTCAGGCTTCTTAGTATATATTCCTAGAAGTGGGATCACTGGGTCAAATGGCAGCTTAATTTTCAGTTTTTTGAGGAAGCACCATATTGTTTTCCATAGTGGCTGCATCAGTCTGCATTCCCACCAGAAGTGTACTAGAGTCTCCTTTTCTCCACACCCTCGCCAGCAGTTGTTGTTTGATGATTTGTTGATGGCAGCCATTCTGACAGGTGTGATACCTCAAAGTCATTTTAATTTGCGTCTCTCTGATGATTAGTGATGTTGAGCATTTGTCTTGGTCATTTCTATGTCCTGTTTGGAGAGGTCTATTTAGATCCTCTGCCCTTTTTTAATTGGACTGTTTGTCTTCCTTTTGTTGAGTTGTATGAGCACTCTATATATTTGGAAATTAAACCCTTATCTGATGTATCATTGGCATTTCTCCTCTCCTTTATAGTGGGTTCTCTTTCCATTTTGATGGTTGTTTCTTTTGCTGTGCAGAAGCGTTTTACTTTAATGTAGTCCCATGTGTTCATTTTTTCCTTTGTTTCTCTTGCCTTAGGGGTTGTATCAGTGAAAATTCTGCTGTGTGTGATGTCTGAAATTTTGTTGCCTACATTTTCTTCTAGGATTTTTATGGATTCACAAGTCACATTTAAGTCTTTAATCAACTTTGAGTTTATTCTTGTGTATGGTGTAAGTTGGTGGTCTAGCTTCACTATTTTGCATGCAGCTGTCCAATTTTTCAAACACCATTTATTGAAGAGGCTGTCTGGACTCCACTGTATGCTCTTGCCACCTTTGTCAAATATTAATTGAGCATATTGTCTTGGGTCAACTTCTAGGTTCTCTGTTCTGTTCCATTGATCTATATGCCTGTTCTCATGCCAGTACCAGACTGTTTTTATTACAGTAGCTTTGTAGTATAACCTGCTATCCGGTATTGTGATCCCTCCTACTTTGTTCTTCTTTTTCCAGACTGCTGTGCCTATTCAGGGTCTTTTTTGGTCCCATATAAATTTTTGGAGTATTTGTTCTTGTTCCATGAAATATGTCATTGGTATTTTAATGAGGATTGCATTGAATCTATAGATTGCTTTGGGTAGTATGGCCATTTTAATGAGGTTAATTATTTAAATCCATGAACAAGGTATATGCTTCCACTTTTTTTATATCTTCTCTATTTTTTTTTCCAATGTTGTATAGTTTTCTGAGAACAG